GACGGGTGGAGGCTGAGCTGAAATTGAACATCGGACGTCAGACGTTGGAGGTCGGAGCGCTGATATGGCGGAAGCTGGAGTTCGATAGGTGGAGGCGGAAATTCGAAAATTGGGTGCTGAGTGCTAGGGGTCGGAGCGCTGGGATGGTGGAAGCTGGCGGTCGATTGGTGGAGGTGGAATTGGAAAGTCGGATGCTGGGTGCTGGAAGTCGGAGCGGTGCGGCCGGGGGTCGATAGGTGGAGGTGGAAGTGGAAGGTCGGATGCTGTGAGCTGGAGGTCGGAGCGCCGAGGCTGGAAGTCGCGAAGTGGTGGTGGGAGTGGAATGACGGATGCTGGATGCTGGAGTCTGGAGCGATGAGGTGGTGGAAGCGGCAGGTCGATAGGTGGAGGTGATAATGGAGAGTCGGATGCTGGATGCTGGAGGTCGGAGCGCAGAGGTGGTGGGAGCTGGAAGCGCGGCGGTGCCCCGACTTCCGCCGGCGCTGGTGCCGCAGCCTCCTCTGGCACGGGCGGCACGTGCATCGCGCTGTCGACGGAATGCCCCGACGCGGACGAAATTCTGGTCAATGACCCTGGGCTCGCCCCGTGGAGTTGCTGCTGGCGGAGGCTGAAGGTGGAAGTGTGTGCGCTGGCCATGGCGAGGGCGACGTTGCCGTCGACACTGTCGGGGCGGCTGGTCTCGACGTCGCGATCGTCGTGGGCGCCGCGCAGCTGGTCCCCTTCCTGGGCGCCCGCGTCGAGCTGCACCTCGCCGAAGCCCGGTGGAGGTCTCGGGCGGCCCGGAGAGAACCAGACCCAGAGGGGGGGGGTCTGGTCGGGCGGGAGGCCTGGCCGCGGTAGCAGGCAAATCTCCCGGCGCCCCAGGGGCTGCTGCGATAGTTGCTGCTGCTGCTGCTGCTGCTGCTGGAGCGACTCTCGGGGCCTGGTCAAGCTTGGGTCGTTGGGCAAAGGCTGGAGGTCGATAGGTGGAGGCAGATGTGGAAAGTCGGGCGCTGGGCGCTGGAGGTCGGAGCGCTGAGGCGGCGGAAGCTGGAGGTCGATAGGGTGGGGTGGAAGTGGAAAGTCGGATGCTGGATGCTGCGTGTCGGAGCGCTGAGGTGGTGGAAGTTGGAGGTCAATAGGTGGAATCTGAGTGTCGATAAGCGAAGTTCGATAGGAGGAAAAGGAGGAGGAGGAGGACGAGGAGGAGGAGGAGGAGGACGAGGAGGGGAAGGAGGGGAGGGAGGAGGAGGAGGAGGAGGAGGAGGAGGAGGAGGAGGAGGAGGAGGAGGAGGAGGAGGAGGAGGAGGATCGCGCGCCACGGAGGGAAAAGGGGGGACAGAGAAGTCCGACAGTCCGACCGCTCTTCCTCCAAGGGGTGCCCATCCAAGTGGACCTTTGTCGACCGCAGGCATGGCGGCCAGAAGCCTGCCCATGCCCCGCGACAGGGCCCCCCTGAAGGATCAATCAGCCGTCTGAATCAGCACCGAATCCCTGGTCTTCAGGGCGCTCGCGCCATTCTCCAAGGGTTCGCTCTTCGGGCTCGCTTGGCCCAAAGGCTAAGAGAAAATCAGCAGGGCAAAAGAAACAGGCGGGCCTCTATCTGGCCCGTGTCTGGCCTCTCGTTTTTGGGCCCCTGGAACTATTCCAAGACCGCCCGCCAAACTCCCGAGCCGCCGCGCCGGGAGTCCTCCAGGGGCCCAGTTCGAGAGGTCGGTTAGGGTGCTTGCCCCTACGAACAGCGCCCGTATCTGTCATGTCAGGGCCTACCAGGGCCCCGCGGGAGCCGCCGCAGGCAACTCGGAGCTCCATGGGGCCTTGCGACAATCAAGCATAGCCTCCGCAAACGGAGCCTACCAACATCGGCGGTTGGCCCTTGGCCATCGAATCAAACTCCAGCCAACAACGCCCCCTGGAAGCCCAGGGTGCTTGGTCCGAGTCTAGGGCCATCGGGGCCTGCACTGGACCGCGCCGCTCGCTCGGGCTGCCAGCCGATGGGGAGGGCTCAGGCGGAGGGGGGGATTAGCAGCCGCAGCCTTCACTCCCCCAAACAGCTCCACCAGAGCCCCTCCCTCGCGGCACCACGCTCTGGCGAGATCAAGGTGAGACCCCGGGCTCCCAGGATATCCAAAAATCCTGAACCTGCGCAGTGAGCCATGGCCCTGCTGCCGAATCGGAGCAGGGCCACTGCAGACCCACGGGTCACTCCTCACCAGCCTAGCTCCTTGTTTTGTCACACGATTGGCAGCCTTGTTACCTGCGTGCACAAATGCCGATATGCGTCATCCGCGCACATCTTTCATGCTAGTGCGTGCCCTCACCTTCTTGAACACAACCGCCGCGGGCAAGGCGTCTCGCCTCCAACCCCGGCACGCTGGGCACTGAAAAAGACGGCGGACGAGGGCCCCGGGCACTTCCCCGCGGATGAGACAGTGACTCGGCAGCTCGGAATCCAGCCCTTGCGGGCGGAACTGGGCCGAGTGCGCGCCCGTGGCCAGGCCGCGCAAGACACCTTGCTCCCTCGCGCCCCAAGTCCCGTCAGTAACCGCCCCCTTTCCTGCGGGTCATGCCTGGCATGCAGCAGCTCGTCGAGCGGCCCCCTAAAATTCATGTCTCGCAAGCCTGTGCATCGCCCAAACTTTGCCGGGCCAGACCTGTCCGCGCCTGCTGCTAGGATGGCCCTACGGGCTGCGAAAGAAAGCGATATCGCACTACCGTCCCGTTGCTCTCCTGTCGGTTCTAGCGGCGTCCACTGGTCCAGCAAAACTAGCAAGTTGCACTCGGCAGCCCATGGCTAGGCCACAATGCTTCGGGGAAATGACACTGTGAACTTTACCTAGCGCAGCTTCCGCTGCCCGAAACCTAGACGCCATCGCGGCGCGAGGCTGCAGGCCGCCAAAACACGGGCCTCCCCACGTTTCTGCCCAAAGCGTTTTGCCCCGCTCCTCGACGCGACGAGGGGGGGGGGATTGGCGGCTGGTAAAGGCCTCTGCCAAACGTTGGTTTGCCCCGCCCCCTGCCCGAGCTTTAGCGCCCCCGCCGCGCGCGGTCCCGCGGGCGCGCCCAGCTGAGCCCAGCGGTCTGCGACAGGGTGATCGAAACACCAGCTGGCCACAAAAAGGTCCTCGCCGAGTTGATCGCAATTGGCTTCCTGAGGCCGCGACAATGATGCTCCTAAGTGCACTGCCCACTGAGGCATTTTGAGATCCTCCTCATAAATGTTCCAGCCGCCTCCACTTGAAACAGGGAGCCCAGCTGAAGCCATCAGTTCCCTAATGCGCTCGAGCATGGAAAATTTGGAGCGTAGCCGACCGGGGCAAACAGAAACGGCAACTCGCGATGGGCCATGGCCGTGACAACCACCACCCATTCCGTCACATATCCTCGCTGATGTGCCCAAGTTCTCGCCGCCTTGATCTGGGCCTCCACCAGCCTGTGCCCATGCGCGAGGCAAGCATCGGCACGCATCTCTCTTTGGCCCCACGAGCCAACTCAGGATATTGCTTGGCCTTCTTCCAGGCATTCGAATTTTAGGTGACCGCCGTGATCCCGCACTCCTGCTTGTCGCCCTCCAAAGTCTGGGTCTGGCCTGCAACTGACTCACCGCCCAAAGTGCTCGTCGAAGTCCCAGCTTCTGGGGCTGCCCTGCCACGGGCCCACCCAGAAACCTGTTTCGCCCCGCAGCCTGGAAAAGCGGGGCGCTCACCGCACACCCGCGCGTCCGCGGCACTGCGACGAGGCTGCGCTCGATCGAAGGCATCGACCACCCGCGCGCCTGCGGCCTCGCCCCAGAGCTCCCCCCCCCCCCCTGCAGGGTCTGCCATGCCGCGGGCCCCCCCCCAGGACGTCGCACCAAGGGGGTCGCACTTTCCTGGGGCATCGGCCATCCGCGCATCTACGGCCCAGGCAAGCGGCTGGTCCTGAGCGAGGGCGCAGACTACCCGCATGTCTGCGGCCTCGCTGAGCGGACCGCGACCCCCTTTCGGGGTCTGCCCTGTGGCTGGCCCCCCCAAGGTCTCGGGAGTCCAGGCGCGCATGGGAGGCCGCTCCTCCCCGGGCATCGACCACCCGCGCATCTGTGGACCAGAGAAGAGGCTGGACCTGAGCGACGGCATCGACTACCCGCATGCCTGCGGCCTCGATCCAAGGCCCGCTGCCCCCCTTTAGGGTCTGCCCTCGGCTGGGCCCCCCCCCGGGACCTCCGTCGGCCCCAAACAATGCCGCTGCCTCCTGCCTGCAAGCTGCCCGCGAACAAAATCAACCAGCCTTCCAAGTTCGCCCCAGCGGTACCCTGCAAAAGGCATCCCAACCGAACCTGTCGGGGATCTCATGCTGTATCGAACCGCCTGTCTGTTCCATGTGCCATATGCCATTCGACCGGGCTTCCATGCACTCCCCCATGGCCACCTGCTCCAGCTCACCCGGACTCTCACGCCCTTGGCCCTGCCAGGGGCGACTCCTGCACCTCTTGGCCATGTCCCGCCCGAGCTGTGCGCGGCCTGGATTCGGCAAAAATCTGGCGTGGTATTCCACGCGCCATCGCTGCCAGGGGCCTTGGTCCAAATGGCTGTGTCCTTTGATGTGCCAGATCAATCGGGTGCCCCGGCTCGCCCTCGCTTCATCAAGCTCGCGCCTGCTTCTGTCTGGGACTGCCCTCGGCGCCGCCCCTGTAGGTGGCCTCCCCATCAGTTGCTGCAGTGGCGGGTTCGCAGTATAGGCTCTCTTGGGCGCCTCCAGCCAACTTCGCTCTGGCTGCCGCGACTGCTGCCTGCAGCTCCCCAGCGGTGGGCGCTGCAGCCACTGACTGCTTATGCTGTGCTCCTGAGGCAGCCGCAGATGCTGGGCTTGCTGAACTTCCCCCCGCGCTGGCGCCAGCCCCAGCGCTCGCGCCGGTAGGAGGAAGAGCAGAAGCACCCCGAGGAGTCGACGACCCTTCCCCGCTGGAGACGGACGCCGCGTCATCCTTGCGGGCCCGCTTAGCAAACAAGCGCCGGCGCATCGCCCTGGCCTCTGCACAGAACCTCTGGATATTCGCCGCACTCGGCCCGGAGCTCCATGGCCGCGTTGCCGTTGAGCTCCAGCCACTTGCTCCGGTCGACCTCCTCAAGTTCTAGGCCGCTGAGGTCGAGAAACTCTCGGTCGACGATCTCGACCGCGTCGAACCCGCTCCCATCTGCGAGCAGCTGCGACAGGTTGATTTGCGAACCTGCTGGCACCTGCGTCGCATCTGGCGCAGCTGTGCCAGGCGCCGCACGCTGGAGCTCCGCCTTGAGTTCCGCCTGCCACTCTGCCTTGGCCAGCGCCGCCGCATGAGCCACCGCCGCCGTCTCCTTGCTGCAGTCCTCCAGCCAGCGCCGCGCCTCGTCCTCCTGCTGCACCGCCTGCTCGGGCGCCTTCTCCGCCCTGCGACGCGCAACCCCCTTCGATCTGATGGCATTCTCCAGAAGCGGCTGCCGAGGCGCGGCAGGCGGCCCAGGTGCCACCGCCCGCGCCTGGCCCGGAGCTCCTGGGCCCCTGCGTCCTTGCCGACATGCTGCTGGAACTGTTGCAGGAGCTCGGCCACCGAGACAGCGCCCGTTCCGCGCTGCGGCGGCGTCGATGGCATGGGCGCCTGCATGCGGGGGGGCGCCCAGGACCCTGGCTGCTGGGTTGGCTGCCTCTGCCACTGGCCCCCGCCACCTGACTCCGACCGCGCCCCCTGCGCCGCCGCGGCTGTTGGACTGCTGGGGCGAGGGCAGCGCCTCGAGAATATCGCGCAGACCTCGGTTTCCAGTTCCGACGGTGGCGACAGCTCGCGCGCGAGAGGAACTGCTTCGTCGCATCCTCGACCACCATGGGCTCCGACAAGGGCTCGCGAGAACGCGAGCGGTGCCCGCGAGGCAGAATGCACTGTGCCGGAATAACCCTGCTCGGGCTCCGCGTGAAAGCCTGGGCGCGGCCCGAGGATCGCTGGCGGGGGCGCGCCCCCCCTTGCCACGCCTCAAGTCGCTGAGCCCCCCGCTGCGGACTTGAACCAAAATGGCCACGGAGGAGGAGGGCGACGACGACGAGGACGATGAAGGGGAGTGAGGAGGAGGAGGAGGAGGAGGAGGAGGAGGAAGAGTGAACGCCCCCTGAGGAGTCGCGCCCACCTACCCTTCGCGCAGCCGCTGAGTAGCGAGAGCGCGGATGCGCACGGCCGCCGAGGCAGAAGTATGAACGTGGGGGGGGGGGGGGGGGGGGCGCCGATCTCCCCCTTCATGGCGCGATATATGTAGATAGCGACGGCGGGAAAGCGGGCGACTCGAGCCATCGTGAGCTGACCGACGTGCCCCTCCACGCCCCCGAGGCCCAACCGAGCTAGTGTGGGCCAGCGACGAGCTCTAGGAATCTGTCAACCTAAATGCTGCCGTGCACTGTTGGGACAGCGTGGACATCCTAGCAAGCACATCTTGGACCCAGGGGTCACATGCATACGGCTGCTGGTGGTCCATGCCCCACGCAGTGTCTTTAGAACACGTCATCTGATCGCGGGCTTGCACGCGCAGAGAAAGGAACGGAGGTGGAGCCAGCGAGAAGGGAGGTCAGGGGGGGAGGGCAAAGTCAGGATATCATTTACTCAAACGCTTCCTAATCGCGCATGCAGCCTGCTCAGGATACATGCGCTGCGGCAGCAAGGCAGGCGCGACTCGCTGCACCTTGGGACGCCCCGTTCCCTCCGACGTAACCCGCTCCACCTTCCTCCGCCCCGCGCGCGCAGCCGTGCGTGAGACAGCAGATGTTATCTTGCATATGCGATGCAGACTGGTGGGCTTACACAGGCATGTGTCCTCGAATCGCTGCGCGATTGCTGAGGGCTCCCGCCGCCATTCTGGAGACCACATCTGAGCAACGCAGCGCGGTGACGGAGCGGAGCAGTTGGCGGTCCCCTACAGGCGCCGTAAGTGCGCGCCCCATCCAGTCAAAGCGGCGGCGCACGTCCGCCGCGGCGACGCGAGAGACAGAGACAAGATGGCAGTGGGCCCTCCTCCCCTACACCACTCTATCAGCGACAAAAAATCTGAGCGCTTCCTGGCATTGGGAGGGAGTCAATACAACTTGTGAAATGCGTGAATTTCTCTTTTCAGAAGCCTCGCGATGGGCAAGAAGAGTTGCGCGACATAGCTGAGAGTGGGGGGGGGGGGGGGGGGGGGGGGGGGGGCGGAAGCGCGCAAAAGAGCGAGGGCGGATGGGGGGGCGCGAGTGCCGCCGGCAAGCTGAATGCGTTTCAACCACTTCTCCGAGGGAGCTTTCCACTGCAACTCAGTGGTAGCTCCTGGGCCGAGCCAGCCCCTAAGTATTCCGCCGCGTCAATAACCTGAAACGCGCCCTGCCTACGACAGACCAAATCAAGATCACGACGAGTTCGGCTCTGCACCTCGGGAGACAAAAGGGCCCCAAGCGGGGCTGCTACACATTTCGCCGGTTGCAACTCTAGGCCAGCGAGCTTTTTCCGCGAAGCAGAACGTTTCAGCGATCATGAGAAGTTGAATGACGCATAGCATGATGAGACTGATGTCATCTGCGCACGCGCGCACCACTCCGTGATCGAGAAATGGAAAAAGACGTTGCAAGTGACGCAGCAGTGGATCCACGCACGCCGCCCAGAGACTTCCCGGCAGCGGGCATCCCTGGAGCACTCCACTGGCCAGCTCGCGCATTGGCGCGAGAGGCATGTCGCCGAACCGCGCGAACGCCGCAGAAGCATTATAGAGAGTAGCAATCGCCCATCGCACCCTTGGGGCACGCCATAATGTGCAAGAGTGAGCTCTTGCCATTTTCTCTTCAGGCTCGGGAGCGCGGCTTTGAAATCGAAGGGCAGGAGGGGCGGTCGCTTGCGAGGCCCGTGTTCAAGCCACCCCACTCTCCTAGCCTCCGCGTCCAACAAGGGTATGCTGCCAACAAAGCTACGACGCGTGATATACCCTTGTTGGCTCTCATGCACGCGCTGGTCAACCAGCGGCTTCAAAACGAAATTCACCGCTGAGCTGATGGCGTTCACGTCACTAGTCTTGAGATTTGGAGGGCAGAGATCCTGGCGCCGACGAATGACCCGAGTCGCGCCCAGTTCATCTTCGCCCTTGGGGGGGAAAGCAAACAATGAGCGGTTGGCCTCGCATGGCAAAAAGTTGCCAGAGTACACGCGCCCCAGTACTCGATGCAGAGTGCTGATGGCAAGAGGCCGGGAGAGCCAGAGGGTCAAGTCCGGGAGCACTTGGCTTAGCACGTTGGAGCGCTGACGTCGGTGCTTCCACGCTGGGCACGGGAGCGTCGAAGGCGGGGGCAGGGGGGGGAACAGAGGAGAAAGCATTGCAGCATTGCTCTCTGTGTCCGAGGATTCGCGTGCTGCAAAAACTGGCTGCCAATGCGCCTGCGCGGCATTGAAAATGCCTTGGTCGTTCATCACAACGGCACTCGCCCCCTCCGGACCCTCGCCACGCACGTGCACGCGCGCGCCCTCAAGACGAAGTTGACGGGGCCAGGGGGTCCACGAGCGTGCTCTGCGTGCTGCTCGGCGCTCAATCTTACGCCGAAGAATCTCGCCCCCGTGTCGACCGAATTCATCGCAAGGCGAGGCGCGCATGCTGGCTTGCAATGCGCGACGCTGGCGCCGCTCATCGTTGGCTGCATCGCATTGCGAGTGGAAGGGCGCTGGAGAGACGAGGCCGACCCGACCGTCAACGACGACGAGGTGAGAACAGGCGAGGGGAGAGGTAGCGATGAGGAGAGAGGCTGTGCGCACATCATTTCTCCACAGTGCGTGAGCCATGGAGCGGAACATGTACATGCGGGTGACGGGGGCATCAGGATGCGCGGAGTGAAGATACCCAGGGCCCTGGAGCTTATCACGAGTGAGCGCGGCAGCTTCATGCGCGACAGCTTTGATGCCCTCCCGCGCTGCTACCGCGTGCAATTGCGAGAAGTCCGTGCGAGACAATATGCGATCAAAGATGTGCTGGAACTTGGGGGCGCGAAGCCGGCGCGGAGGGATGGCGCTTTCCTGCTGCGATCGCGGAGCAGACTGAGATCTTGAGCATAGGCGCAGCATGATCAGACAGGCCGCGGCCTGACAGACGAGTGCACTCGCGCGCGATCTGCAACGCTGCGTTAGCAAGCATCAGAAGAGACGGACAGCCAGAGACAAACATCCTATCGACGCACGAGACCTGCTGCCTATGCGAATCGCACCGAGTGGGTACCTCCATAGTGATCTCTGTGACTGACGCAAACATGCAGCGCCAGCGCGCTTGCATACGTTGGCATCGGTGGTCAATGACCGGGGGAGAAAGAGGGGATGGAGCGGCATCAGCATCAGCAGCCTGCTGCGGGGACCGAGAGGGACGGGGGGGGATTCGGGCGCGTTGAAGTCGCCGAGCGCCAAAAACTTAAATGCGCGCTCGCGCTGCACTGCGCGCTCGACCTGCCGCGACCAGAAACGCTCAATATCATGCGCGTCGAAGGCCGAGAGCTGATGATTACGCGCGTTGAGGATGCACGTCGAATGGGGGCGCGCGCTGGACGAGATACGCAAAGCGGCCGCGCGGCCAGGAACGATCGGGCGCTGGACGCACGCCAGCCGCAACTCACGAGGCACAGGCCGATGTCGCGGGTGTCGCGGCACGAGGAAAGCCGCGCCACCAGCGGAGACATCGGTGAGAGACGCGAAGCACTCGCGCGTGTAGGGCGCGTCGTCGACCAGCCGCTGGAGGCGCCCAGTGTCTCCGCGGACCACTTGGAGGGCGATGGGGAATCGCTGGCGCATGTATTCAGCTAAACGACGGGTCTTGGCATCGCGATTCTGCGAGTCGGCGCGCAGCAGACTGCGGAGCGGCGCGGTCGGAGTCACGGCGAAAGAGCCCCCGCGGAGCCCAGCCAGCGCCACCCAGACCGCTGAACTTCTACTGCCGAGAAGGTTGCATTGAAGGCAGTCTCGATCGCATCGGTGTCGATGTCGAACTGCGTCGTGGCATTGAGGTTCCATCTGATGCGCGTCGGTTCAGCCTGCCCTTGAGGTTCGAGCTGGCAGCGCGGCGCGCCGTTGACCAGTGCCTGGAACTGAGCCCGCCTGCACCTCCAAGAAAGGGACGGGTGCATCTCCTCCAACAATTTAGACATCTTCTTCGCTTGCACCTCGCCTCGCGCCATCTTGGGGCTCCTATCCGTAGACGCGTGCATTGCGACGACGGCTCCCTCAGTGGATGCAACTGAAAAGTACGCCAGCTCGCAGAGGTGCGCAAGTTCTTGACCAGCGCGGTGGCACGGGAGCTGGCCTCGGTCCTGCTGCCCAGCACGCGCACGGTGAACCGCCTTGCCACGACGTCACCGACGAGCTCCCACTGCACAGGCATAAGTTTATTTAGCATCAGCAATCCAAGGAGCGAGTG